ATTGACGCAGCAAAACTTCCCGTAACTTTCTCGGTATAACTGTTTGCCAGGTCGTCACTTTCCCATCTGCAGTTCCCCATCTCCGGACAAAACAACCATCTTCAAGCTTCAACTGGTTCCATTGTGCCCTATAGTTCTTTGTCACAGGGCTTAAGTTAGACACCTTCTCCCAAGCAGGGCACAAAACACTTGCTTGTAGAAAATCAATTATTGTTTTCAAATCTTGGCCTTTCTCCTGTTCTGCTTTAATATATATACTTGGTTCCACTTCATGATCATCAACTCCTTCAGTCACTTTGACTTTAGCTTGATGGCACCTGGTTAGTTCAACCTCTCTTTTGCAGCAATGTCTGCAGTCAATTTTGCAGGGTCTTCATCTCAATCCGTCAGCATTTCTATGAGATTTTCTTTCTCTGTATTCAATATCATAATTATACTGGTCTAACTTTTCGATCCAACGTGCCAGTTGTCCCTCTGGGTTCTTTAATGATCTTAACCAGTGTAATGCAGCATGGTCTGTCCTGATGCTAAACCTAGTCCCATAGAGGTAAGGATGGAAATATGTCAGACTTTTTATTACGGCAAGGAGTTCTCTTTGTGTTACACAGTAGTTCCTCTCTGATCTACTCAGGACCCACTTTCACTCACTTTCTGAGACAATACTCCTCCAATTCCGACATTACTAGCATCACAATCCAGTATGTATGGCAGTGAGAGATTTAGAAGCTTTAAAAGTGGAGCTGAGGCCAATTTTTCTTTCAATGTCTTGAAAGCATGCTGGCAAGAAACTGTCCATTCAAACTTCTGGTCTTTTTTTGTCAAATCATGTAGTGGAGCAACTATAGTTGCAAAGTCCTTCACAAACTTCCAGTATTAGGTACAGAGTCCCAAGAAACTTCTTAATTCTCGCACATTGTCTGGTGTTGGCCAATCATGCACTGCTTTTACCTTGTCAGGATCAGTTTGCACACCATGCTCACTTACAATGTTACCCAAGTAAAGCACCTCTTTCTGGAACAAGTGGCATTTCTTGGGATGGAGTTTTAGGTTTGCTGCTTTCAAATGCTTGAACACTTCCTCTAGTTGGGATGCTTCCTCATGAAATGTTGCTGCAAACACAATGACATCATCCAGGTACACTGGAGCTATCCTCCATTGTAGGCCTTTCAGTACTCTTTCCATCAGCCTCTCAAATGTTGCTGGAGCATTGCTAAGGCAGAATGGCATCACACGGTATTGCCAGAGACTTTGGCCATAACTAAATGCAGTCTTAGGTTTATCTGCTTCAACCATTTTCACTTGATGGAA